CCCCGCGGCCGCCCGGCCTCTCCCCGCCGGTTCGGGCCGCGCCTGCACTCACCTCGGCCGGGCTGCGCTCCCCAGCGGGCCTGCGCCGAGCCCGATAAATGGTATGCTATGACTAGAGGTATGATTACGTTATTATTATTAGTAATAATAAGAGTAAATGCTATTTAATTACGGGCGGCCGCATCGTGCTCCCGGCGCCGCCGCCCCGGCAGCTCCGTCCATGTGGCTCCGAAGCTTTACTTTCATTTCCAGCCCCTCGCCGGCCGCTCGCGGCAGTACCCGCGGGAGGCTCGGTCTCGCAGCCGTTCTCCCTCCTCGGGTCCTAGAGAGCGCGGCTCCCTCGCCTCGCGCCCGGTGGGCGGCGCGGCCTGCGCACCTGTGGAGAAAGGGGGGTCGGGGGAGACCCCCCCTTTCCTGGGCAAAGCTCATTCCTGGAATTCGCCTTTATTTCTCTTTAGAAGAGGTCTTCCTTTTTAGGGCGTTTTCTTTGGGCAATTCTGCATTTCTGGGCTGAAGCTGTTCAAACTAGCGTCTCCGCCCTTCCCCATGTGTGTAAAAAGCCCCCCCCCAACAAGTTTCCAGGTGTTTTCTATAAAGGTTCCCAGAAACCCTAGTTGCATTGAACCCCGATCCCCCCTTTATGGATGAAGACTGCAGGCTCAGAGAGGAAGTCTCGAGAGACCTCACTCAGCTGGTGTTTTATGTATGGGATGTTTCCAGAAAGGATTTGAGGCTGCTTAGAAGCTGTTCTCCCTGTTTGGTAATTCTCCCCTTACCTTCTGCCTCAAAACTGATAAGGGGCCAGGCTGGAGGCTGGATTTGAATCCAGAATTTCTGATTCCAAATACAGAGTGCATACCTGTACCATTGATTCCTGGAGACTCTCACATTCCCTTGAGTTCTCTCAAATTCCAGTTCCCTTTTAAATACATATAAATATATGTATATATCCACCACCTGTCATTCAGTCTGTCTTAATATGGTGGCTTTTGTGTTGCTATGATGCTAGAAGCTATGCCACCAGTATTTCAAATACCAGCCGGGTCACCCATGTTGGACAGATTTCAGCAGAGCTTCCAGACTAAGACAGACTAGGAAGAAAGGCCTGGCAATCTGCTTCCAGAAATTAGCCAGTGAAAACCTGATGGATCACAACAGAACATTGTTCAACTCACTTGCTTTGGACACGTAGTCAGGAAGGATCAATCGCTGGGGGAAGACATAATGTTTCATGAAGTAGAGGGCCAAGGAAGGTGAGGGAGACCCTTGGTGAGATGGATTGGCACAGTAGCTGCAACGTTGGACTTGAACATGTGACAACCATGAAGATGGCGCAGAACCAGGCAAAATTATTTTCTGTTGTACATGGACTGCCATGAGTCAGAGCTGACTCCTCGGCTGCTATCTATCTATGCTATTGAGAATCGGCTGTGAGCCTGGAATACTTTTATCTTTCCAAATGTTATCTCTAAACCAATTGTGTTGGACACAATCTTATGAACTGGGGAAATAACTGTCAGACAAATTTTAAACGTTTAAATACATTGTGCTAAGTGCTAAGAGGGACAAAACCTAGGGCTATATTCGCTTATTTACCTCTCACAATAATCCTGGAAGATTGGCTTTGTTGTTGTTGTTAGGTGCCGTGGAGTTGGTTCCGACTCATAGCGACTCTATTTACAACAGAACGAAACACTGCCCAGTCCTGTGCATCCTCACAATCGTTGTTGTGCTTGAGCCCATTGTTGTAGCCACTGTGTCAATCCATCTCTTTGGGGGTCTTCCTCTTTTTCACTGACCCTCTACTTTACCAAGCATGATGTCTTTCTCCAGGGACTGGTCCCTCCTGATAACATGTCCAAAGTATGTATTGCGTTGGACAAATCTGCTGCAAAAGACCTCTTTAAGGTGTTAAAAAGCAAAGATGTCACTTTAAGGACTAAGGTGCGCCTGACCCAAGCCATGGTGTTTTCAGTCACCTCATAAGCATGTGAAAGCTGGATGATGAATCAGGAAGACCAAAGAAGAATTGATGCTTTTGAATCATGGTGTTGGAGAAGAACATTGAATACACCATGGACTGCCAAAAGAACCAACAAATCTATCTTAGAAGGTTGGCTTTAGCGTGCCCATTTTACAGACGGGAAACTGAGTCTCAGCGATGAAGGGACTAGTCCAAGTCGGCAGTTCTGACTCCAGAGCTCTTTACACAGCCACCTACACTTTCCACATCTCTGCTTTAGGGAACCTTGTGAGGGGAGGAAAAAGCAGTCAGAAGTTCTCAAACTCTCCTTTTGCGGGGAGGCCTTCTTCCTCCCTGCTCTGAGATTAACCAACAAAAAAGGCAGCCTCCAGCATGAAGAAGATGGATGTTCATGGCCGGAAATAAAAAGCAGAGTCTAGTGGCCCTCAGACTTCACTGCAGGGTGGGACCTACTCAAAATGAATTCCTCCAGTGCACCCCCCCCCGCCCCCATATTCTGATTCAGTATTTCTGACAAGCACCCCTTGGGGATTCTGGTGTTTAGCAGGAAATCACTCAAGATCATGAGCTAAAGGCAGCGACATGTTAAGTCTGGTGACTTAGGGGGGCTGGGGGATGTGAGGATGTCACCCAGGCAGCATTAGGAAGACTGAGGGCCTATTCCCAGCTCTGCCCTTTGCCAACTGTGTGACCCTGGCAGTCTCTTGCAGTATCCGTTTCCTCATTTATAAAATAATAAGAGCACCCAATGGCACCCAACAACAACATGCAGGGCACTGATAATGTCTGATTGTTAACTAAAGAATAAAAATGCATTCTTCCAGAATAAGCCCGTAGAATGCAGATTCTCAAAGGTAAGGGTGACCTAAAAAAAGACAGAGAGAGGAATCAGGAGTCTAGGGGGTGCCATGGGCCAGCCACCAGAGAGCTAGAATACAGTGGATAAAATGCAGCTGGTAAAACGTGGTCCCATTTATCCCCAGCATGTTACTGGGAAAGCGTTCAAACATCCAGAAAGTTGAAAGAACTGCACAGTGTACACCCAATATGCCCTAGATTATTCTACAATTGTTAATGTTTTGCTATATTTACTTTATCACATATTCATCCATCCATCCATCATTCCACATGATAATACTTCTGTTAAATAAATTAAAAAAAAAAAAACCCTCCAGATGGTAGACATACAGGTAGGTCACTGTGTTAGTCATCTAGTGCTGCTGTAACAGAAATACCACAAGTGAATGCCTTAACAAAGAGAAATTTATTTCCTCACAGTAAAGTAGGCTAAAAGTCCAAATTCAGGACATCAGCTCCAGGGGAAGGCAATCTGTCTCTATCGGCCTTCTCATCAGTGTTCCCCCGGACTAGGAGCTTCTCTGCGCAGGGACTCTGGGTCCAAAGGACACGCTCTGCTCCTGGCACTGCTTTCTTCGTGGTATGCGATCCCCCACTTTCTGCCCATTTCCCTTTCCTTTTATCTCTTGTAAGATAAAAGGTGGTGCAAGCCACACCCCAGAGAAACTCCCTTTACATTGGATCGGGGATAGGACCTTAGTAAGGGTGTTACAATCCCACCCTAATCCTCTTTAACATAAAATTACAATCACAAAATGGAGGACAACCACACAATACTGGGAATCATGGCCTAACCAAGTTGACACATATTTTGGGAGGACACAATTCAATCCATGACAGTCATTATAACTTTCTTCTTTGTGCTTTTCTGCATTTGTACAAATTTTTAAAAAATGACTATCACTTTTAATTAAAAAAAATACAATTATTTTATTTCTATTTTGGAGGAAAAGAATTATTAAACAGTAGTCTGCCAAATGCCCTTGGCACCTAGGAAACCCTCCAAAACATTAGCAAGACCAGAATTTAAGCTCCTCCATGAACACGGTCCATTTCCATCTTGTTCATCATTCTCAACAGCTGGAACAATGCCTGGCACATAGTAAATGCTTGATAACTATTTGTGGAATGAATGGATGATTTTAATTATGGGTTTTTTTTTTTAATCAAGTGAAAAAAAGGTATGTTCTGATGGAGAGTTGTGGACTTGAACCCTGTGGGAATGTGGTTTAAAACTTCCTTAACAAATGATATAGCCAGCCCCCACCCTCCCCACCCAGATAGAAGAGACCCTCTGTGAGGCTCCCTGCAATGCAGGGTAGGTCGACCCCTCTCTCTTCCAGGACCCAAGGCTAGCACTCGATTGGATCTTCGGAATTCTCTACACGTTCCTCATGTGTCTGGCATACTTCAGGCATTTGTTTTTGATTTAACAAAATAGCAAGTCTGCACCCTTGGTAGTTCTTCAGGAAAGCAGCATAAATATTGTTATTTATTCCATTTACAATTTGCAATTAAGTTTTCTTGCAGGCACCAGAACGGAATTTAAAACACTCAGTTAAAGTAAACCAGACTCATCAGAGGCAGCCTGCCTTTCTCTTCAAAACATCCTTAAAAAAAACAACAACCACACAGCAGAGAGAGAAAGATCTGGAACACCCTTCCCTTTCTCCCCCAACACCCACCTCAAACAAAGTGGCTTGTTCTGCAGTGTGCTGAAAAGGACACCAGGGAGCTAGCGTCTACTGTCTCTGATCTAAATTACTGTGTAACTTTGGGCAGGTAATTTAACCTCTCTGGGCCTCAGTTCTTCATCTGTTGAAATGAGAGGAGTGGCCTGAGATGGCTTTTCCATTTATCAAAGGCTATGATTCCACTTCTTGGGCCAAGCAAACAGAACAGCTCTCAGGAGGTACCCTGAAAGAGAGAGTTGGAGAAAGCAAAGGAGAGAGAAAAGATGACAAGTGTGGTTACTTGGAAACTGATGATTCTGGACTCTTTGCCTCACCAAATCCTGCTCCATTTAGGTCCCTGTCTCCCCATCTATACAGGGGAGAATCTATATGTAGGAGTAACAGAATCTGGATTGCTAAGGGGTGTTGTCAGGCTGGGTTTTTGATTTGTAGCTTTGAATGTGAACGTCTTCAGGCAAAACATCTCTCCATTTCTCCACAAGCCCCACCAGGCCCTATTACTTCTTGTTACCTCTTGGTTCTTGAAGACCATTAAGTTTCTGGTCTCTTAAGCATTCCCTTCCATTTCAAAATTCTCATTGATTAAGGGTAATGATTGCACAGCCAATTACAGTAGTCCCTCGGTATCCCTGGGGGATTGGTTCCAGAACACCACCACCCCCGTACCAAAATGTGCAGATGCTCAAGTCCCTTATATAAAATGGCATAATATTTGCATATAACCTACGCATATCCACCTGTATACTTTGAATCATCTCTAGATTACTGATAATACCTAATACAG